GCTCTGTAACCTTGACTATTTGGAAGGATGTTAATATAATCCAGAACCTATACTTGCAGCAAACCGTCTGCATACGGATAGAAAAGAAATATACATAAAAAAGAAAAAAGAAAAGTAAATATACATAATTGAAAGGTGTGTAAAACAAGGACGTGTCTTCCAACTAGACTTATTCCACTTATACAGAGAAACGATTTTGAGAGAACTAGAAGTCCTACCGGGAATCATTAAAGATATGCAAATGACAGTCTTGATGGCGGACAAAAAAGGAAACTATAGTAACTCCTACAGAATGTAGTGAGATAAAGCGAGAAAAGGACATAATCTCAATTGCAAGAATATAGAGTGCATGATAGTTAGCAAAGGAACAGCCCAAAATGCAAATTACAAATTGGAGATAACAAAATCAAGCATGTACAAAAATCTAAATATCTGGGAAGCGTTATAAGAGAGAGCAGAGAGCGCAATACTGAAATTTGAAGGCGCATTGGGATAGAGAAATATGTTTTTCAGAAGCTAAGCAAAGTATTAAAAAATGGGAAAATTTCACTGGAAACAAAGAAAAAGTACTGAACTGTTACGTAATATCAGTCCTCCGTTATTGCAATAAATGCTACAAAACTGAAGAGACCTGAGGTAACAGCAATGTGGCCCGCCAGAACTGAAGATGTTAGCAACGATGAAGTTTTACAGAAAATTGAATAAAAAAGGACACTTATACTTATCAGAAAATGACAGCTGAAATTTTTACGGTACATAAAGAGAAAAGAGGGCTTACAAATTTTGACACTCACAAGACATATTGAAGGCAAGAGAGACAGAGGAAAACAGTACCAAAACTACTTAATGAACTTGTGGAAATGCTTAGGAGGGATTAAGAGAGTTAGCAAAAAGGTAAACTTTACGAAAAGCTAGGAAGAGCAAGAAATTCTTCAACGTCCTGAAGGGAAATGACAAATGTTTTTTGCTTTCCACAACTTGTAAAATAAACCCAAACAAATGAAGTATTTGTGATGCAATACGTAAGAAGATAAAATAGTGTTGCTGTGCCAGTGTAGCCGTGATAGGATTTTACACCGTTTGATTGTTGGAGTTAGAGATTTTGAGAAATAGGAAACTGACGATACACTGAATTCTGTAGATGAAATTGAACTCATCATTTTTTAATAAATTTTTTGATTCAAATACTTAAAGGAAATTTATATAATAATTTCTAATAAACATCTAAAAACAATGTTTGAAATTTTTATTTTTTAAAAAAATATTTCCATTAAGAAATTCCACAAATATACATGTGCAAACTTAAAATTTGCTTAAGTTTACATGGTTTCGATTTTGCTTACTGAATTTTAGAACACCTTCGAAACTTAATATTTTTTCAATTTAATGACATTTTCGATAAAAATATAGACAGCATTTTTTAAATGAAGATTTTCCCCAATACATCTGGAACTTTCCCTCATGTTATCGTATTTTTTACTATCTTAGATTTTCGCAAGCGTTTGAAAATAGAGTGAAATTGCTCTTTTAATTAACTTTTTTATTTATGTGAACTGCCTTTTCGACTTGAGGACATAAGGCGAGAAACATCAGAATTCGATAAGAAAATTGGTAACACAATTACTGTTAGCCTTAAGAAACCAATTCTTCATGTAGGTGCAATCCCTAGAATTTTGCCAAACTGTCCCTCATATTTGTCTTCACAGACCTTCTCTATAGAGTCACCTAAACCGGGAAAAATTCAACTGGAGAATTTTGCCCTTAAAAGAGCTTTGATCAAAGTACTGCTGATGACTTAAAATGCAAACAGCAGAGGAAATTCCATAGAATTAATGACATGGAGGTAAAATTAAATTTTCCCCATAGAGTACCGGAATATAGTGGGGTAGCAAGTGACTCTTATTATATCGCATCATCAAGTTTCCTTATAAAATAATCAGTCCATATGTTACAAATGAACCTGAGTTTGCAGTACATGTGTTCTGTGGTGATGTGGTAATTATTACTATAGGGGAGTATGAGATTCCTGATCATGTAAGTGATACAAATACTTTGGAAATTCTTATTGAAAACATTAAGAAATGGGTATCGAAGAATGTCAAACTAAACGTCAAAGTGTGATTACTGTATTAAATATGCCAATATACTTTCTGCTATTAGTATAAGACGAGTCATTTAGATAAGTTTATGCAGTTAAATTTATATATGAGCAGTGAAAATTAATGAAAAAGTAAGTTTGATTATTCAGCAGAAATGGTGATTTTTCCTTCATTGTTGTTTTACTGTTCCTCTAGATCTTATAGGCTGTTAAGAGACACCAAAAATATAAATTTTCCTAGTTATTCAGCCATCAGAAGACTAACCTTATCAACCTCTATGAATCCTGTAGTTTAGCAACATAATTTTCTTATGTATATTAAAAATAAGTTTAAGTTACTAGAGATAAAAAAAAATCATTACACTATCTTTACTTGTGGGTGAAATTCCCCTAAAACCTTATTTTGATTATAAAAATGGTAATGTTGTTGGCTTAGCCGACAATAACAATGAGTCAATGAGTCTGCACCGAGTGCTTTTGCTTTTATACTTAGCAGTGTATTCTCACAATACAAGATTGTTGTGCATATTATGCCAACTAAATGTCTTAAAGCTGAGAATTTATTTGACACAGTTAAGCGTGTAATAAATGGTCTAGAAGAGATAGGCGTTAGAAAAGCTAAGTTAACCAAAAAAAAAAAACATTTTAATTTCTATGGTTAATTAATTAGCCAATTACCATAGCTAAATAGTGTCACATCCGATCAAAGAAATGCAATCGCAATGTGCCTCGACGAGTTTATGTTCGGTATCCCATGATCACCCTCGGATGGAGGTAGCAAACCTTGCGACGTAGCATATGGCATTTGTAGCCCCAGAGAAGAAGAAACAAAGTTTTCACTAGATCATCTAGGTCGGTGATCGGGAGTGACAGAACTGAATGACGGTAAAGATGAAGGGTTAGATGTACGCAAACCTCAGTCGTCCCCTTCTAGGAAAGCGTCTTTTGTAGCCACATATTAACTGTAACTACGATCTTCTACAGAACTTCTGACCAATTCTTCTCCATCTGGAGGTGGGAACCGAACCAAACGCCGAGTACCTTGCAAAACCCGTCTATCCAACTGAAAGGGCCTGGGAGATGACAACCTTTCCACGAACCCAGCCGCAAGCTTATAGACTTATCGCAGTTCATATTGACCTCTGTGATTGTCTCATACATCAGGATTTCCCTTCCGACTTCGCCAATCTCGGCACTGCCCGTTACAAGCGTTGAGACGTCGCTGGCGTAAGCGTTGTACCTGGCTGAGATGGCGGCACCAGGTAACGTAATCCCGCAAAGGATCGGAGTCGCCCTCCACCTGCACAGGAAAGGCTCCAGTGCAAGCACATAAAGCGAAAGTATGGCTTGAAACCGGCCGCAGACAAGACAGCCTTCAAGAAACGATGGCCCATCCTATCAAAAGACTTGGACTGACCCAAGTTGATCCAAGCGGCTTCTCCGCCGACATTTTCTATGATCGTGCGTACTAAATAAAGGTGATCGTGAATCGTCCGACACTTTACAGCAGAATAGGATATAAGACAATGAAGAACAACCTGCAAACGATTTTCCAGGACCTTGGAGAAAATCTTTCACTCTGCTAATCCCACCCCATCCATGTTTGCTCTTGCGTAGACGCTTCACCACACCCCTGGTAAAATGTTGATAGTCCCTGTTCTATCCAGTGGTTGAAGAGAATTTCCAGCAAGGGGACAACATGGACGACAGCCTTAAGTATACATCGTAGGGTATACCATCGATGCCCGGTTTCTTATCCTTCCCAGATTTCCTCCTGTTATGTGACCATCGCAACCAGCTGCATCAGTCGCTGAAGCAGCTGGTTGACGCGAGGAAAGACGGTCAAATAATTGTCGAACTGAGTCGAACTCAGATCAGTCTCTCTGGTGAAAATTTTCTGAAAGTAGTCACGAAACTCCCCGCATATGCTCTCATCAGTTTTCTCCCATCCGGCGATGTGATATACGATATGTCTATCTGAGGCACTGAGATATTCCTTCGCACGCAATTCTGTGCCATATTCGTTACATCGGCAGATATTCTATTTAATCTAGCTCTAACTACTTGAGCCTGGTCGTTCTTGTTAAGCAGGGAGGTTAGTTCAGTCTTATCTATAGCTACGTTATCACTATCTTCTAATTTGACAGAGCCCTCTACTCTAGATACTAGTTCCCTTTGCGCCGCTGGTTTATCTAGGGTTGGGTCGTCCGCTGTAATCGGCGGTAAAAGACCTAATAGTGTCCTTATGGTTTTCCCACAACTTATTCCCAAACACAGAACCCGCCAGTTCCTGCTGTATTATTAATAGGAGCTGGTCCCCGAAATCTTTCACGTTCAACAAAGACATGTCGAATTTCCAGTATCCAGCCGTTCTGGGCTTAGCCTTATCTAAGTTTATGCGGTTCCGCACAAGCTTATGATCCGTATAAACTATACTATGAAATCTTGGATAACCTAAGAGTCCTAAGTCGATTCTCTTAACTAGAACCCAGTCGATGTAGCTAGAAAGTTGAACCACTCCCGGGACGCCCCCTCTATTTCCAAGTTCACTCTACCCGCTTCGGATGTTCATTTCGGAATTTATCAATCAGATCAAGTCTGGCGACAAATTCACGAAAGTGTTTTTTTTATACACCGGAAGGGATGTTAGTACACTTCCGGGATCCCCTGCGGTCTAAATTGGGACCAAGTACGGTGTTCCAATCCCCTAATAAATTACCCGTTTCAACGCTATTACGAACCAATCAATTTGCCCCAAATAGGCTTCCCACTTCCCATAATCATTGAGCGCATAAACCCCAATGAATAGGAATTTCTCCTTTTATGGTGACATTCAGCGCACGCAATCTACCTGCCGAATGCGCGAAGACAAATGAAAAGGTCGCGTTCAAAGAAAGACTTACTAGGATGGGAGTGGAGGAGTCGGTGCTGGACTGAGAAAAGTGGGAGAAGGAGAGATTCGGTGCGGGGACATAGGCTTGGACAAGGGCTTGTTGTCTATAAGGGTGATGATAAAAAGTGTGTATTTACCTGAAGAGGACTTTTTTCTGGAGGAGGCATCAGCCTCCACTGACTTGTTCTTTGTTTCCGGTTTCTTCTTTAGCATAATGAGTTTCTCTTTCTTTTCCTTTGAAGGATTCGCATATAAAATAACTAGGGTCTTTACGGTCTCTGCATAGCTAGTCTTTTCTTCTTTCTTAGGGCTGGGGCTTAGAAGAGATGGAGACCACTGATATCTTTTTTGTTCTTTTTAGCCACTACCTGCCAGTCATACTCCTTACCTACTGTTTTTGTAGATAGTCGCACCATTATTCTGATCTTTGCTGTTAGTCTTTTTGCTAGTCTCATTCGTGAACAAAGGACAATGATTTTGTGTGCTCTGTACGCCTTTGGGGCGGGGGGGGCGGTCAAACTGCGGAGAGATGCTCATTCTCGCTGCATTGTCAGCAAGCTGGTTTCCGTCCTGAAATGATTTGGCGATTTTCTGTTATTTAAAAGCATCCAGTTGGGGACTGCGTAGAATGATTTCTGGTTATCACGTAGTATTTCCATTGTCCTATCTTTACTGGAATCATCTCTATTAGGTCTCCGTGCTGCATTAGAAATGCCCCTACCTTTTGACCAAGCCGTAACTCGTATTCGTCGTTGTCCTTGATATTCATCTCGCAACATGCATTCCTCATTTTGCAGGTTCTTCTTGGTCGGTGTATTCTTCTGAGATGAACGATATTGGATTGGTGCATAATTATCAGACGTTTTTGTAAGGGAGTTATTTGTTAATTGCTGTTTTGTTTACTATTATTATTTTCAGGTTATAAAAATGCGTGTCGATAATCATACGCTCCGGAATAATCATTTAAAAATGTTATTGTTGAATTGTTATGTTTCTTTTTTCATTATAAATATTGTTTAAAAAACGCCTGATAATTATGCACCAACCCAATAGTATTTCCCACATAGGGAAATGCTTTCCTTTCACAATTTATTGGATTTTCACTTCCACCATATTCATGACGTAATCCCTGTTGGATTTAATGGCATTATTATATTTTATTTTTTGTCAAAGAAAGACAGAAATGATTCTTTTTTCACAGTTTCCAACTCTGTAGGGTTTATGGAGTTCATCTGGTGCAACTAGGTGGATATATTGCCTAGCCTGCTGGACAAATTCCTCAATGTCTATGACATATTAAGGTGGTGACTTCCATGTGGAGGGCAGGGCAGTAGATGAATTTTCCTTGTCCTTTTCCATGACTTTGCCAATTTGTGAGGTTGTAGTCTGGTCCTTTTTCTCTTTTTCTGGTGTTTATCTTTTCAGGTTTCGCAAATAGAGCTATGATGGGAACTTACCTATAACGATAATTGACTCTTCCTGACACTATAAATACTGCGCCTCTCAAGAGGTATAATGAGTGAATGGTGTAACGAGTCGAGACAATATTAGTTCACACTAAACCAGACGGACAGTCATTACTAATACCTTCAACTTCTTGTACTATATTTCTGTTGTAATATATCTTTGTTATTCTACTCTTGTGTTCGTGTTGTTCTTCCTTGGTTTCTAACCTTGGACCATAACTGTGAGGATATTGGACCATAACAGTGGCGACGAGGATAAGAAACGGACCATAACAGTGGCGACGAGGAAGAAACTTCTACGAAAACTTTTTGCTATCTGTCTGCCGAATAACAGTGGCGACGAGGAACTGAAACAAACAAATTTTTGCTATCCGTCGCCCATAACAGGGCAAAACTGAAGACAAACACCGACGACCATTTGTGGCGACGACGAATTTGTAACGAAGAGGACAAACTTTTTGCTATCTCTAAACAGTGGCGACGAGGAACTGAAGAAACAAGTTCTACTGTCGCCCATAACAGGACGAAACTCCCCCAAAATCTTATAACTCGACGAGGAAAGAAACAAGCTCTATCGAGAATCTAAGAAACAAAAAACTTTTTTATCCGTCGCCCATCAGTCCAAAACAAGAAACAAACGAGAACCTGAAAAAAAAACAAACAAGTTCTACGCAAAAATCAACAAAAACCTTTTTGCTAAACAAAAAAAAAAAAAAAGTCTACGCGAACATAAAAAAAAAAAAAAAATTTTCTTTTGGACACCAACATTACAGTAGTAACAAAGACACAAATTCTACACAGGAATTTTTTTTTCCGTACTAAGGTTTCAGAATAACAGACAACAAAGACCTGAAGTCTAAACTAAAAGAAAAATACACATAATTACGGTTAATATGGAAGATTTTAAGGCAACCATATTGGAACGTATGAAAATACAATTTGAGCAGCAACAGAAAACCGAACAGAAGCATCTGGAACTACAAGAATTATTGCTACGGGTAATAACAAATAAAGGGCAAAATTCCGAAAATGAAACAGTTCTCTCACAAAATACTTTATGGAACTCTATCGAAGATTACACGTATAAACCAGACGAAGACAAAACCTTCGCAGCTTACTTCAGAAGGTACGAAGATTTATATGAGTTTGATTGCGGGAATTGGTCAGACGCGAGAAAAGTACGTCTACTACTAAGAAAATTAGGGTCTAGCGAATACACTAAATTCGTAGACTACATCCTACCAAGAAAAACAAATGAGTTAACTTTCAAGGAAGCCATAAAACTGTTAACAGAACTATTTAGCCCAAATACCTCACTATTCCACAAAAGATGGAAATGTCTGAATCTAACAAAAAAGGACAGCGAAGACTATATAACATTCGCTTCCATTGTAAATAAACACTGTGATGACTTTAAGTTATCTGAACTCAGCCCGGACAATTTTAAATGTTTAATATTCGTTCAAGGCCTGGTTTCGACGAAAGACGCGAAGATCAGACGCAGAATTCTTACAAAACTGGAGAGTGAACCAGATTTGACGCGACAAAAATTGGCTGAAGACTGTCAGAGATGTATAAGCGTGAAGAATGACTCGAAAGATATAGAAGAATCTGGCATCGTGCACATACGTGAAGTACAACGACAAACACGTTTTTGCACATCCTCAAAAACAAACCAAACCAATTTTCCCTCCTCAAAAACAGATCAAACAAATTTTTCTACTTCAAAAAGTCAATATTAGAAAAAACTACCAACCAGTCCATGCTATCGCTGTAGGACTTTGCATTGGTATAAAGACTGTCCATACCGATTTAAGACTTGTCTATCGTGCAAAAAAAGTGGGCCATAAAAGTTCTCATTGTTGGAATAGGAAAGAAAGCGAAAGCAGAGTAAGAGTCACAAGGACTGACCAAGCAGACGAAACAAACATACGAAAATACGTGCAAGTAAAAATGTTAAAAAGAAAAGTCAGACTACAAGTGGATTCCGGATCGGATTTAACTATTATTAACGTACAAACATGGAGAAAATTGAACAAACCGACCATGTTGGGAACCGATAAAATTGCTAGGTCGGTAACTGGGAGAAAAATAAAAAATTTGAAGAAAGTTATTACAAATGTGACATTCAATGGAATGACCAAAAATTAAAAAATGTATGTGCTAAGAAATACAGAAAATCTATTTGGAACGGACTAGATGCAGAAATTCGACCTCTGGGATTTACCAATAAGTACGTCCTGCCAAAAAGTGAAAAGTTTATCGACCGAGGCAGATAAATTAAAGGAAAAACTAAAAGAGAGTTTCCCCGAGTATTTTCAGCCGGCCTCAGGAGGTGTAAAAAAAATGGCAAATATAGAAATAAAAGAAAATGTACAACCTATCTTCAAGAAGAAAAGGAACGTACCTTTTGCTTCAATAGAAAAAATAAATCAAGAGTTGGATAGACTCGAAAAATCGGTATATTGACAAAAGTGGAATATAGTCAATGGGCCGCACCTACGGTTTACGTCAAAAAGAAATCGGGGGAGATACGAGTATGCGCTGATTTCTCAACGGGATTAAACGCAGCGATTAAGGATTACCACTATCCTCTACCCAGTCCAGAAGAAGTTTTCACAAAACTAAACGGAGGAAAATTTTTCTCAAAAATAGACTTGAGCGAAGCGTACCTACAAATACCAGTAGATGAGGAAAGCTCGAGATTATTGTGCATAAACACACACAAAGGATTATACAAGTTCCAAAGATTACCATTCGGGATTAAGGTCGCGCCGGCAATATTTCAACAGATAATGGATACTATGCTAGGCGGACTTGATTTCACGATTGCATACCTGGATGATATAATGGTAAATAGCAAAAACATTGAGCAACACTGGGAACACGTTCAAGAGGTTTTTAGGAGAATACAAAACTATGGTTTCAAGGTATAAGAAAACAAGTGCGATTTCTTTATGAAGGAAATAAAATATCTGGGAAATATCATCGATGAAGAAGGAAGACAGCCAGACCCAGAAAGGGCTACGGCAATAAAAAAAAAAAAAAATGCCAGCTCCAAAGAACGTAGCCGAATTACAAAACTTCTTAGGCTTAGTGAATTGTTACCAAGAATTCATTCCAAACATGCATAACCCCTAAACGAACTGTTGAAGAAGGAAAAAGTTTGGGAGTGGACAGATGAATGCCAGAAAACGTTTGACAAAATAATTAAGACGCTAACCGCGGATCTATTTTTAGCACATTATGACCCAAAATTAGAAATAATAGTCGCAAGTGACGCGAGTTCCTATAGAGTCGGGGCATGTATACTGCATAAAATGCTGGATGGGACACTAAAACCCATCGCGCATGCTTCAAGAACTTTACTACCAGCAGAGAAAAATTACTCACAAATCGAAAAAGAAGCGCTAGGAATTCTTTTTGCAGTTACAAGATTTCATAGATATATTTACGGTAGATTTTTTTTATTTTACATACGGACCACAAGCCGTTATTAACAATATTCGGATCGAAGAAAGGTCTACCTGTTTACACTGCAAATAGGTTGCTAAGATGGGGTACAAATTTACTGAACTACAATTTCAAATTGGAGTATCTTCCCACGAACAAAATTGGACATGCAGATGGTCTCTCGAGACTAATACCTAAGAAAACGGAGCCATTGGAAGATTCCGTAATTGCAGCCCTACGACATGAAGAAGATATCAGGACATCACTATGTAGTACAGTTCGAAACCTCCCCGTCACACTACAAGAGATAAGAAATGAAGCAGAAAATGATGAATTCATAAAAGAAACAAAAACGAAAATTGCAGAAAAAATAAAAATGTACCAGTTTTTCGTCATGTGACAATGTTCTACTATATAACGAAAGGGTAGTAATTCCAAAAACACTACAAAGGCGAATCCTAAAGGACTTCCACATGGGCCATCCAGGAAAGAATAGAATGAAATCGTTAATGCGAAGTTACGTATATTGGCAAAACATGGATCAAGACATTACACAGATGGTGGAAAAATGCAAGGGTTGTTCCTTAGCAGCGAAAGCACCGCCGATCATCCATAAGCCATGGCCAGAGACAGATCGACCGTGGTCAAGAATCCATATAAAATTCGCAGGTCCAATAGATGGTTCTACTATTTGATCATAGTAGACAGTTATAGCAAATGGCTAGAAGTGTTTCGTTGCAGAAAACCTACTACTGAAACTACCATAAATTGCCTCCACGAGCTGTTTGCTCGCTTCAGAGTGGTTGATTGTCTAGTCAGTCACTGATAATGGGACACAATTCACATCTGCGGACTTTCAAGAATTTTGTGAAAATTTTCAAGTTAAACATATCAAACCCCCGCCATATCATCCAAGATCAAACGGGCAAGCGGAGAGATTTGTAGACACACTCAAAAGAGCGTTAAGGAAAGCATATGGCGTGCCAACAGAAAGGCGTTGCAACAATTTTTACAAGTATATCGAATTACACCAAACAGTGCTACGCCATCGGCATTATCACCCGCGGAAGTGATGTTCGCCTGAAAAATCAGATCAGTATTTGACAAATTGCTACCAAAACAAACAAAGCAAATACCAATGTCGTGCGTACCAAAAAGAACATTTCACCCAGGAGAGAAAGGTTTTTTTAAGATATATAAAAACATTACGTCCTACTGGGAGCAAGGTACAATTAAAAAAAAGAATCGGGAACATGGTTTACATAGTACAGGACCCGAAATGGTCACATAAAAGACATATAAATCAAATAAGAAAGAGGCTGTTAGATGATTATAACGGTTCACCTCAGGAAGAAGAAGTGATGGATACAATACACGACACATTTGATATGCAAAGGCCGCAAACAATGTCTGAACCATGAAAATCGACCAGGAAAAGAAAAGTCACACATAGCCTTTGATAATAAATCCAAAGAGGAAAAAAATACTAAAGACCCTGAGACGCAAAAAAAGCTTTGGAAGGGGGTGTTATGGGAACTTACCTATAACGATAATGGACTCTTCCTGACACTATAAATACTGCGCCTCTCAAGAGGTATAATGAATGGATGGTCGAGACAATTTTAGTACACTCTAAACCAGACGGACAGTCATTACTAACACCTTCAACTTCTTGTACTATATTTCTGTTGTAATATATCTTTGTTATTCTACTCTTGTGGCATGAACCCCGATTACAAACTGAAATATAACAAAATATCAAACAGAAAATAACACATGTTAGTAGCACCCGTCCACCCTACAAAAATAAAAGTGGCCGCTGTATTCTGTCTTCTAACAGAATCAAGAAGCTAACTCTCTAACGGAGTGGGAAGGATGAAATAAATATAGGCGTGGAGAAACCAAAGACTGAGCCAGTCGAGAAAAAAAAGAGGCAAAAAACAAACTAGGGAGGTTGGGAATCTCAACTTGGATCAAAAGAAAAGAAGAAGCGGGAATATGCCGGGGACGACACTCACTCACTTTAACTAGGCACACAAAGAGAGTCTAACTTAAACAGGGGAGGGTTCCACAGTGACAGTCGGGCAAATCCGCCCCATCCCATCTGAAGACCAGGTCATTGAGAGATAGCCCATTTCGAATCAATAGCCAGGTAAGCGAAAACCCAGGGTTACTGAGGTAATTCACTGCTGGCGCCCAAGACCAGAAAGAGCGCAACTCGGCCAGCGACAAGCCGATCCGCACACAGAGATGATCCTTCGCGACCCCTTCCACTAATTCACTGGACCGAGGAAAAACCCTCAAGGCCGCTCGGCACCCGATGAAGAAAGTCGACAGTTTCCCGGACCTGCGACGGTGCTTACCCAAGAAATGGGAGTTGTGATAATAATGCTAGGGAAGGCGTCCCTAACACTCCCCACTAAAATTGAATCCTCTGTCAAAATGCGGCGTAGGGAAGCCTACCTCAAAACGTGAGATCTATATTGGCCCTTCTGACTAACATTCTTTCCAGGTAGCTAACCACCTGGGTAGACGGCCACCTAAGTGCCCACATCCACAGTGATCGACCCGGTATCTATCAAGACCAAACTCGACGATCAGATCAACCAAACTACGATCGCTGACCTCCCGCTAGCTCCCCGTCCGCTGTCTAACTTGGGGTTCAGGACAAAGTGAAAATTACTCTGTGGTTAGCTACGTTGAATGGGGCCAACCTGGCATAGGTCATGGATCATAATAAAAACTGACACTCCCTTCTGAGTATTTTTTTAAAAAAGGATATCATAAGTTGAAACACATACGATATATTGCTCGCATAAATATATAATAAAAACTATCGGCTAGTTGATACTAATTTTATATGAAAAGATTTGTTTACATAATAAAATCTGACAGTAAATTAACATTAGTTGGTTAATTCCCTATTTTATTGTAACAGTATTGAATTGAATAATAAAATCTGACAGTGTATGCGCGATGTGATAAATTGTTAATTCTAAGAATATAAACAAGTAAGAAAATGCCTTGAATAAAAGCGATCTTGATGTCATATGATTATAAACAAATAGTAAAGCAAAATTTTTCATTTCAAGATTAAAAGTTTCTCCTATTTAAAAGATCTAGTTACCTGTATATGGGAAAGTTGACAGTTGAAAGACTAATGGTATCGGGTCATTTAACACGGTACACACACCTTTTCAACACACAATAAATCCATTATAAAACGTGAAGTACCCCTTGCTTAAACAGTATCTGAACGAGCAACCACTGTAGACTAAACAACTCTAGAGGTATGGTGATAAAAAACTTCCATCAATGCCGTATCTTTTTTTTTTTTTAATTTTATCTGTCGTAAACAACATTTTATTATATGTTTGTTTTTAAGAAAAAAAAAGAAATGTTATTTTTACTTTTTACAGGTTACCCAAAATACTTTTTTCAGGTGTTATTCTGCAATTCTATACTTTCATGATAAAATTGATATAAACCAAACATTGATCAGGATTTGCGCGTTTTTTATAAAATAATATATGTACTTATTAAAAATAATGTTTAGGATTTCTTTTCGGTGTGTCTGGTTTAAGGGGCAACCTATTTTTTTTTATTTAATTGATACGTATTTGATAAACACTATATCTCATATACTTGAATATTTTAAATTTTAAAGTAAATTTAAAACATTCTATAATTTCAACATTCTACAAACGTCATCAGCCTTTCCTCATTTTGTTAAATTTGTCTACAATTTCGATTTTAACAATACTTGCAATTACATTTATTGATTTCCACAAATCATTTTTTACTTCAATATTGTTTTCCGTGACATTTCTTTTTAATAACGGATTAAGATCTTAAGAGGCTGTGTATTATTTCATTAGTTTGGTGCATTTTAAACATTTTTGCAAGATGCGTAAAATCTATTTCAGAATATGAACGAGCATTGTCTTGCATGAATGTACTCTTTAGTTTACAGATATTTCTTTGTGAATTATGTCACTAAAATATTCTATCCAAGAAGTCACAATAATTCATTGCAATTATCGTGAAACTTTGAAATGGATCATAATTTTATTGCCTACAATACGAGCCCAAAACATCTCCCCACTGTTGTTTTGTAAATAATGCTGTTTCACTATTTCGATGAATAATTCAACCTCTATACCTGTCATCACATCTATCCAGTGTAGATCTACAGTCATCACTACAAATTACTTTTGAGAAATCACTTGTAAGGTACTTTGTTCAACTTTCCCATTTCTCTTTGTGATGTTTACTTCAAAATCTAGTTGTTTTCTCGTCTTTAGCCAATATCTTAATATCTTGCACCATTTATCTATTTTTACATTTGCAAAGTCAGCCTTTTCAAATATTTATTTTCCAATTATTTTCCTTTCTTATTAATTTTTAAATTTTTCTCAAAATTCTTTTTGTGACAATTTTAGTCAGTTTATTTTTATTCTTTCTTGACAATATTTATTTTTTATTATTCTGTAATCACTGCTCTTTTGGTCATTATATTCAATGACTTCACATTATCATGATTCTCTTTGAATTTTATATTTTTATTACTGGCCACGGCAGTATTTATCTATTTGAAATTTAGGGAAGATCAGTAATCATACTATTATATAGGGCATCATGCGACCTTTGATGCTAATTTGACTAGAATAAATGGATATATAGTTTGTTCAACGGTATAGCCAGAGCCAGCAGTACATACGCTAATTTTATATCTCGTATATGATATGCACCTCTTAGAATTATCATCAAAATTATGTCTTCAAAAATCGCATGATACGCGAATATATACGGTACATTTACATATTTCTAAGTTTTATGCGTTACGGCTTTTCTGTTTTTGCAAGTCATTTCAGGACGTGGACGATCATTATTTTCATGACTTTCTCTCTTTCGTTGCTCGAAATAATTTTTAACTTTTTACGAATTTTTTTTGCCCTTGATCATTTATCCATGAACACAAACTCTTTAAATAGCTTACTAAATGTTTATCTTCCTCCACTTGCTTTCATTGTCCCCAGTGGGTACTCTTTCCACACTATGATTTTCCTTGGTTCATCTGCTTTCATTATCCCTTGTGGGTACTCTTTCCACACTATGATTTTCATAAATTTTAGCTCTATAATTCTGATTGTAATTATTCATTGCTACTCCTATTTATACTAAAAATTTGTTCTTGTTCAAATATTCTGTCCAAAGTATTCTTAGCATTCATCAGTATAACCGCATCTCTGTTGCTTCAAGTCTGATATTCATCTCTGGAGAGACTGTCTAACAATCAATTCCGTATAGCATATAAAATATTACATAGCAGTTCAGTACTTTATATAATTTTCTTAAGTATTAATACTTTGATTAGTTTCTGGAACGCTCCTTTCTCTATTAGTGAACATTCGTATTTCTGTGTCCCATTGTTTATCGTCTATTATTACACTGTTGTAACACATTGCTAGCGGTTATAATATGTTTTGCTTATGCTACTTACCGTGACATCATTAGAATTATTTCCGACTGAGTTCAACGGACTGGTATTTATCCAGTCTCCCCACTGAGATGAGATTTGACATAAGGTCGAGTTTAGTGTGGGGAACCCGAGCACGTAAACTTTCGCCAATGATTAAAATTTACCCAGCCCCGGCTACCGCGTTATAAGGCACTTTGCCTTGCATTTTTTTTTTCTCAACTGAATTCGTAATTTAATAAGACGGTATCCCAGTATTGTAATCTATTCACTGTATTCGTAGGAATTCATTTTTTCGAACCATAAATTGATAACAGAGGTCAGTGGTCCGTCTGTAACCGAAAAGTCCTTTTGAGTATAAACTTGTGAAATGTTTTCATTGCAATTTTTTTTCTTTTTCGATCTGGCTGTAGTTTTTCTGCCGTTAGTAGCGAACACGAAACATGTGCGATGGCTTTCATGTTACCGTCATCATATTTATGTAGAATTAATGCTCCTATACTATAGTCTCTAACATCTGAAGCCAATACTATTTCTGCTTTTAGATCGTAGTGCGCTAATGATAAGTCGTTAGTATTTTCTTGATTTCTTCAAAAGCTTTCCGACACTTATCAGCCCATTTCCACTTTACGCCTTTTTAAAGAAAACTGTTCAGTGGAGCTCTCAAATTGGAATAAATATGTCACACTAAAACATTTAAAATGATTATAAATTAGATTTTTTAACAGCATTTCTTTAAGAAAAATCATTTATTAAATTTATAAATTACTGCTGAAAGAACTTGTCTTTTGAAACCCCTTTTTAATGAGGGATATCGTTGTGTTATTAACTACGATGGCGTGTTGTAACACGATTTGTGTATTTGAATAAAGTAACAATGGATTTAATAAGAGTATTTATCTCATCAACAATGACAGTTATTTCTCAGTTATTTCGTGATGAAAAGTTTTTGTCACGATCGAGAAGAGATTTCCACTAAAATTCTGATGTTTTGTCATTTGGACTACTTTTAAAAAATAGGTCGGGCCGAAAATCTTTGGGTACACATTTTATAGATAGATTTATAAATAATTCAGTTCGCGTTGATGACAGACAACCCATTTTATGACTCAAATGAAATCAAGACGCATCTTTTAAAAATTATTTTTTTTATCAAGCATGCATTAGAGACCACATTATTTATTATTATTATTATTATTATTATTATTATTATTATTATTTATTACCTGTTTGATATGTGGTGTTGGAGACAACTCTGAGTAAATAATTATAAACTTCATAACATTTATATATACAAAAATACTCTTAAAAATGAGAAACGGCAAGATGTGGAAACAACAAAACGAGTATTATTTATTACCTGTTTCATATGTGACATTGGAGACACGAAAACTGGGTAAAATTGTGAATTTGAAGTCAAATATAGATCGGAATCCTTAAAGAGTAAGTAAAGTGCATACAGTCTTTCTCGTAAATTTGTTAAATTGTTATATATATATATATATATATATATATATATATATATATATATATATATATATATATCAGTGTAATGAGTTTCCAGATAATTATAGTCGGAAAATACAAGAAAAGTTTGGGGTTTTCTTATCTCGAATTTTTGTTGAGTGCTAAGAGATAAATATTACTATTATGGCCGGAAAAAAGGAAAAGGAGCCGAAATTTTCGTTGGCGCACGTGTTAACAGTCTGTCCATGTTAACTACTTGTCCGATTGTAAGAATGACACGTGTTTATGTGTAGAGAGGAGGAAAGTGTGGTCTTAGTTTAGAAAGAGTGAATTGATAATGATTATAATTATTATGATTATTTTATTATAATTATTTTTGACACTATAATTAATTTTTATTTATTCATTTTTATGAAAACGACAGAGTGGCAGTAGAATTAATTTTTTTTATTTATGTATTTCTTTATGGACACGACAAAGGCCACCTCCAGATCATTAGAAATTTATAAATATGCACGTGTAAATATCACTTGGTATGTATATTTTGTTGGTTTTCTGTGTAGGTGTTTAGGTTAATGTTAACATTCTGTTTTTATGTCCTGTACAAATGTTGTTGAGGGCAAAATCCCTGATTTGCCTTCACAATATTGACGAGGTCGGTTTATGATGTGCCAAGAACTATATCAGCTTATGTACAGCCCCTAAATTTTCTTTTACAATGCTCCTGATGGATAAGAGTAGCAATTCTAAATTTCCTACCCAATCAGTTTTGTTTGTTCCACCATCCTATTAACAGAAGGGTGATAGGTTGTAGTTTTTATGAGCATAGATCAAAGTAGTTAATTGAACTTATTAAATAGGGTAGACTGAAACTAAGTTCCTCTGTTTGCTGTGAGCATTGAAGGTACTCCAAAAACTGATATCCAATCAGTATGGATAGTTCAGGTAATTGTTGTAGCTGAAATATTTTTGATGTCTATTTCGGCATGCCAGCAAGTAAACCTATCAATGATAGTCAGGATATATGTGTATCCTTGAGAACAAGGTAAAGGTCCGACAATGTCGACATGTATACTGGTGAATCTTGCATCAGGTATACTGAATATGCCTGCAAGTGATTTTGTGTGCTTGTGTATCTTGTTTTTCTGGTATAATAAATAAGTTTTTTCTTCTTCAATTTCTTATATCAACTTACATGTTTGGCCAGACAAAACGTTCAGTAATCAGCTTCACAGATGCACGTTTGCTTGGATGAGACAATTCATGGAAATGTTGGAATATTTGTCGTCTCAACTTTGGTATGTTGGGCCGTGATTGTGATTGTGAAATGTCACAATAAAATTTGGTATCACTGAAGGAGATTGATAACTCAGCTAACTTTAGCGATATGCTTCTGTTTGACATCTTCTGGTGAGTCATCCATAGTTGCTTTTCTGCAATTAATTCGTAGTCCAAAAGTTATTTATTTATTTTTATGGACACGACAAAGTGACAATATAATTAATTTTTTATTTATGTATTTCTTTATGGACACGACAATATTTATGATAAAATGCTACCCAAACCATTGGGTATTTTGAGCAGCTTGATCAATTTGTTCATCGCTATAATTACTTGACGTTTCCTATGTCCGCTTGGATATTTCACAGATTTCTCAACATTATTCTAAGAGATTTTCTATGATATATTTTCTTGCTTTGAGGAAGCCATTTATTCTCTAAAGTTTTCTGAATACTTGGAGTAGCACTTTGTGTACTTGTGTGCGGGCGCACATGTCTGCGAGTTTGTATGTGCACGTGCCTGTGCATGACTAATCTCGTATTTATATATTTGTAGCAAATTGAAAAAAATTAATTTGGACGCCAATTTGAATGAATACAAAAATTAGGAGAAATTTGTCTGAATCGAATAAATTAATTCAAGTTTCATTGAAGCAGTTAAACTTCCAATTAAATCCACCATTTTGAAAAAGTTCGGCCGGTGTTCGTCTCAAGTAAATTCTAGTTTTGTTTTTTAATTTTTATTAAATCTGAGAACAGAAATAGAACTATGCAAACGTAAATAATCATTTTATTCAGATATGCAATTCTTCTGTCTTTTATCATTTTCTTTGTTACCATGAAATATGCTTAACGTACAAGTTGATTTTTATTCACTCATTTTTGTATTTTATTTTAGGTTCAAATTTACATTTGGTGCTTGTACAGAGGTTTTCACAATGGTAAGAATTTGCCTTGTTCACAGTGTCGTAAAATAAGAAATACTGTTTTCTCTCTAAACACTGAAGTTATTTTTAAAAGAGACCAAACTGCATTTATTGATCAATCTAAAAAATCTATTCGTAAAGACAGAGTGAATATTTTGCATTTTCTTAAAAATTATATTAAGTCAAATATCGTTACACCAATATTTTTCATTTCATTTTAGCATTTATATTTTAAGATGTTATCTCTGTTCTGGTGTATCGTTTTACATTATAGCCAGACTTGTTGATTCTAAAAAAATGGGCAATTTAAAATTTTTAAATCTATTAAGATTTTTTTAATTAATTTGAATAAATCCATATAAATCAATTCTTTAAATCGTAAGAAAAACTTTTATATTTCTATGATTATGTTATGGTTCAGGTCCTTGTACCACAGTGATGGTCCAACGTAGAACCAATAAAGAAGAACTCGAACACGGATATGGAATAACACAGATATATTACAATCAGGAATATATACAGAAAAGTAGAAAGTGTTAGTACGAACAATCAGATTTAGTAGGGAGAACAATGTAGTCTCGACCAGTATCACTATGCCAATGTCTGAAGGAGACTCTGTTTCGGACTGTCTCTAACTCGATTGACTCGCTAGCTCTGACTGACTGACTGACAGACTCCTGACGGACTTCACTCCAGACTTCAGACTGAACAGTATTTAGTCCCCCACGAGGGTGTCATGTGGCACAAGGCCTTTTTAACGTGGAAATAAACGGGTTCAGGGTCGGTTTACCTCCCCGAAAGAGAATCCGCCCTTCGGCGTCGACTCCTTCGGGTTCCTCCCCGCCCGAAGGCAGAGAATTCAACCGATCAGCCGGACGTCCGACTTCAGACTGAACTCCCTGCTTCCTCTTGAGGCGCAGTATTTATTACATAAGGAATAGTTCATTATGTTATTATGAGTAAGGTCCCATAACAGATTACTTGCTTGAATGAAATAAGGTTAGATTCAACGCTTGAAAGAAATTGACTTGCAAATTTACAAGATGTTAGTTTAAATAGAGAAATTGTTCAGCGAGCTTGAACACAATATAATACACACGTATTTGCATGAAACAAAATACCTGTGATCTAAAATAGGTATGTCCAAATGAGAACGACATAAATTTTAGGGCATTCTTTTCAGGGTAGTATTTAATGAATTTTTGAGTAACATCTCGTATATCTCTTACCTCTGTTTCTGAACTAAGCCGCTATTTTCAACACACGAGCGGGCTCGTTTTACAAAATGGATTACGTGGCTGGTTTCCGCTTTTGATAAATTTTTCATAAAATTATTAACTAATAACAACAAACTTCATTTTTCATAAAAAAATGTCAAACAATTTGCTCTGATTTTATAAAGAAACAAATTATATAAAAATCTAATTTTTAAAATTATTTTTAATATTTAGTTCGATCGAATTACGATCCTACCTTTGGAGTAATTTTAATCGTTGTTTTGCTACTTAAAATCGATGAGATATATCTGTTCGTTTTACCTGGTTTAATAAATTTTCCAGTAAAATATCAATCAGTGACAATAAACTTAATTTTACAAGAATTGTTAAACTATCGGCACCGATTTTATAAACAGGCAATTTATCTAAAAATCTATTTTTAAAAATTGTTTTTATGTTTAGGTCGATCGAATTACGATCCTACCCTTTGGAGTAATTTTAATCGTTGTTTTGTTGCTACCAATGTCAGCAACACAACCGTGCGACATGAAAGCTGATGTTTGCGAATATAAGTTTATCGTGGCTTATCAACTGACAATGGTGAAAGGAAAACAACTCCTGAAAGCTGTGAATAGTAAACTCTATCCAGTTGAAACCGTGAATATAAGTACAGCGACTCCTGTTCCAGAAGACGAGGTAATTACAATGGATGGCTATCCAGAGTCTCGACTAGTTGTTGCGGTTAATGGAACAATCCCAGGTCCGGCAATCGAAGCTTACATTGGCCAGACTGTGATTGTCTACGTTGAAAATCACCTATACGCTAGTGACGTTACAATTCATTGGCATGGACTGCACCAAAAAGGCACACCCTTCATGGACGGGGTTCCCTACGTAACCCAATGTCCTATAGGTCCATCACAGTCGTTTGCATATAAGTTTAATCTTACACAAACCGGGACTTATTGGTATCATTCTCATATGGCTACGCAAAGGACCATGGGACTCTATGGTGCATTTATTATCAGAGAAAGAAAGCCGACGCCAATTTTAGAACATATTATGGTTGTTAGCGAATTTAATCATCACTGGGATTCCAGTTTGGCTTTCCTTAAGATGGTGCATGGTTTGTACTATAACCAAAAAAGGATTGAAAACACTCGTTCATTGGATGGAGCATTCTTTAGTCTTTTCAATTTTCATTCCGGTATAGTCAATGGCCGTGGGCGATACTATGGTCAAAAAGGTATTCATAACGAAGCGCCTCTTGCTAAATTCACTGTTAAACCAGGAAGCAATTATCGTTTCAGAGTTATATCAGCCAGTGCTCTGTATCCATTTGAGATTTCTGTTGATGGTCACAAATTGCAGATTGTTGCTTCGGATGGTTTCGAATTGGAGCCATATGTAGCAGACGTCTTCGTTATAAACCCTGGAGAACGTTTCGATTTTATTATTACAACTAATGAAACAGTTGGAAACTACTGGATTCGGGGAATAACTACAGAACTTAAAAAGAACCACACGTTTGAAGCTATTCTTCATTACGAGGGTGCTCCTGATGAAGAACCGAATTCATCCCCAAAGAATTGCACGCAAGATGATCCCTGTGAGGTTTTAAATTGCGCATTTTCCTTTTATCCAATGGAACAATACCGAAAATGTATCTTATTATCTGAAATGAACTCTGCTTTTGATTATGAAGTGCCTCGTATCGTACCTGGAAAATGGAAAGAATACTTTTTAAATTTTGCTTTTCCGGGTGAACCTGGTAACACTCCAGGGTCAGTGAATGGACGAAAATTCGTTGAGCCGTCCGTAAACCCACTCTACCAACCCAACGAAGTAGATACATTATGTGACAAGAAAAACTGCGGAGTTGACCGTATATGTGAGTGTAGCTACTCTCTAAAACTAATTAAGGACGATACTATTCAAATGATCCTTCTAAACATGGGAATGGGTAAAGGTTTCCATCATCCAATTCACATGCATGGACACACATTTTCAGTTGTAAAAATGGGTTATCCCATCTTTAATAAAACCACTGGTGTAATCATAGCCGATAATCCCGATGTCGACTGTCGTGGTGATCTGAACAAGAATTATTGTAATGATGCCGCCTGGACCAATAGCAACTGGGGTGGTGACAACATTCCCGGGATTAAATTAAAAAGAGCCCCACTGAAGGACACTCTCATTATACCTTCGGGTGGCTACGCTGTTATTCGGATCAAGGCCGATAACCCAGGTCTGTGGTTTATGCATTGTCACATTGAAATGCATAGTATGGACGGAATGGCATTGATCCTAAATGAATCTTTCGCTGATGTGCCGAAATCACCAGATTATCTTCCTGTGTGCCGAAGTTTCACACCTGCAGCAATTAGTCGGATACCAAATGTTGCAGAAACCGGTATATCATTAGAGACTACAACACCATTAATGAATGGAAAAGCAAACCCTAAAAAAGGTAAATGTAAAATTTACATTATAAATTTCTTTTATTTATTCGCACAAAAATAAAGATGTTTGAATTCCTAAAATGGTTCAGACACACTATCTCCACAACACTCATAAGTCCTGTGAGTGTTTAATTCTGTAAAACCTCTTTTCTCATTATGCATCTCATAAATTACAATTGATTTTAACTATAACTGTGTTTTAATTCCCTTCTTTAGAATTTTCTTGTTGTTCTCATGTCCATTCCATGATATTTTCAGCATCCGTCTATAGAGACACTTCTGTTGCTTTGAGCGAAATTTCTCTTAGTATTTTGCATAGTTTCTGGAAAAGATATTAGACTCTCCCTATGCATCATCGGATTTCTGTGTCACGTTTTCTGTCGTCTGTGACTCCATGACCCAGATAGTTAAATTTCTGCATCTGCTTCATTCTGACATCGCCAATTCGAAAATGATATCTTGGGTTGTCTCTCTTGTTGACAACCATATATTCTGTCCACACACACACACACACACACACACACACACACACACACATATATATATATATATATATATATATATATATATATATATATATATATATATATATATATAAACTAAAGTTTACCTAGCAGTTCAAATATATTTGTGTGTTGTACCCTATAAAATGTGTTTGTGTAATCTATGAAACATAGGTGTAAGTGTTTCTGGAGTTGGATTGCTCACATTGATCATAAAGAAAAAACATTCTTGATATATTTTCACTCGTAACTCTTCTACGCACTCCACTTAAATTCTAGTTATAGGTTTAATTATCTAACTTATTAAGCTGATTGTTCGACGGAGTCGTCACTTATCATTTGCAGTTGGCTTTTTAGGCATCACCATGAAAATAAATTTTCTGATGTCTTCATACATATCGCCATTGTCGTATATTTCATAGAGTGATATAGTCGACATTGAAACCGCCTAAGGATGACAGCATTTCTCATATAATCTCATCAACTCACGCTTTGTTTTTGTTCATCTAGGACAGTCTCGGTCTGCACTTAGATTTTAGTATGGCAGAAACCATAGACGAAGTTATATGCATATCACACAGTAGAGACTCAGTTCTATTTGGAAAGTCAGGTAAAGATATTCCAGATGAATTAAGTGTAGAATTGGAAGAGAATTTACGAGAAAAACATTTTGATTTATCAGCAGATGGTAACACCTCAAATGGAATGAAGAGAGGAGGGATATAAAATTTATTCTTACTTAACACATTATTTCCTCTTATTTAATAGACTATTACAGAGCCGCAAGTAATCACGTGAACCAAACATTTACATTCTCATTTTCATCATTTCCAGATTTTGATCTGTCATCCACATTTTTTTCCTGCCTCACTTCCTTTGGGATATATTTGTTTTCTGCACTCACCAGAGCTTTCCTTAAAGTGTTCTATCTTTAAATTTGAATTTTTATAATTTGTGTCTGAGTGCACATATAACTTCGATCCATTCCACATTAGGTGCAGCATTAATATAGTTTTATATTAAAGTTACTAAAATATATAAATTATGCATTCCCCACCTCACAAAAAAGAAAAAAGAAAAAGACGAAACAATTTGTTTTTTTTTTGTTTTTTTTTTTTTTTTTTTTGTTTTTTATATTTAGCCAAAGTAATGGCTCTAGTAAATATCTTTAACACAATTTCTTTTGACTCTGCACTGAAAATATAGTTCATTTGCTACTCTATCGTGGAATATTTGTCTGTTTTGTACAAACGTAAAGTGTGTGTATATTTGAGTCGGTCATACTGTGTAACAGTGTAGGTGTAGAATAAAGGCGAGAATAAAGTTGTTTATTTAGGCAATGATTTCCCCCCTTATTTTTAAATTTAAATAACTCTCCTTTAATCTATGACTAGTATGTGACCAACCGTTAAGTTTCTAGTGAAGTTTGGAAATGAATATGATATTTTACTTGGGATTACCAGTTTGTTAAGAAACTTGGATGTGGGCATGTTCAATTTGGTAGAACACACACATATCAGTAGAGGTGGGTGACTACAGAAGCAGTTTTAAGACCTCATATTGGAATACATATACAATTCATGAATTCATGAAGTCTGGGAACCAGCGAATGCAGCTCCTCGGAGCAATTAACATGGAAGTATTTGTAAAAAAGACAGAGAGAGCGTAACACATTTATTTTTGTCCTAATCATTCTAACCTAACTTATAATCCTATTTGTTGGTTTAGTTGGAAATCCCTGTTCGAAAGAAAAATTGAAAAAAAAAAAAAGAAAAAGAAAATTGAATGTCTTTGGCTAGAAGCGAAAGTCTCTCGTCAATATTCTCATGATCTAGTTGGCCGAATTTTCTTGCTAGATAAAATATCCGAACATGGAGTTGTTTTTGCCGTTTCTTTCTCCTGTTGTATCTTAACATTGATGAAAAATACAAAATATCTGAATAAATTTTCATTGAATCTGGGAAACTGTATATATTTTTGTTATATTAATTTCAATGCATATAAATAAACATATATCTATATATTTATTTCAGATCGAGAAATTGAAATAATGACCTTTGGTATTCTTATTGCCGTTATCTGCGTCCTGTCTTTGATCATTATTGTTTTAATTGTCGTGGTGATAAAGAGAAGCGCTCATCAAAATATTAAAGCAATTAATGGTGCAACAAATAATGGTTTTGTGAAGTAAAACTCTATCGAAATCCAGGAGGAGAAAGGACGAGTCAGTAAAAAAATAGAAGAAAAATTGAAACAGAAAGCCTATAAACAAAATTATTGATGCATTTCAATCTTACTTTTGAATTTTCCTTTTCTTGTATTTTTATTCCGTTTTCAAGAAAGATAACTATTTTTAAACAATTTCTATTATTAAATCGTTAATTTCCAAGAAGAAAAAACGCAAAATAATTTGAACATATATATATATCAAACTAACCTCATAAGATAATCTATAAAATGTAACCTATTCTTCATTTATCGATTTGAATTTTCTTTGATTTTTAAATGGTAGAAAGACGAGACTACTTTAATAGTAGTTACAGTGTTTCATTTGTGAAACAATTCTAGTTTTTTGCTACAGAATTGAAATAAAACATTATTTGTAAACTGAAAACTGCATTAAAACCTTTTCTTTAATATATTATTATATTGCTCGGTTTACTTACGAATTTTTCATGATTTTCTTTTTAATAGCGACCCATGGACATTTGTGATCACACCATTTTTTTTTTAACGGAAAGACAATAATCTTTCAAAAAAGGGACTGGTTTTGATGTATTAAGTTTTTGTTGAAACTTTTCGTCAGTACCTTAAACATGCGATTATATAACAGATAATGTGAAGTAAAATCAATTTCAACTATAACCATTGATGAATATACATAAAACACAAGCAAACTAATGACAGGTAAAATTTTTGATATAATAAAAGAATTACAACATATAATATCAAGGGACAAAAATATCATAAATAAATGTAACCAAGCAAAATAGGAATGGCTTAATGAGAAATTCGCACAACACAGAAGAAGCAACTGCATAATAAAGATAGAAGAACAGGCAGGGTAAAAATGTTGGCAGTTTGTATAGATTCTAAAGATAGAACAATCATAATAGAAATACAAAAGGTACGATAGAGATCTAATGAATATATTAGAAAGTTATTTAATGATAACAGAGGAAAGAAACCTACACCAAATAAAAGAATGTAAAATATAATATTAAAGAAGAACATGACAGGACTAAACAATACTGTAATAGAGACATAGTCTATTGTGAGATGGATAAGGTAACAAAAATGCCGAACAAAATATATGACAACGGCAAAATACAAGAATATCTCAATAGGTAAAGTCTCATATCACTGGAAAGAATCCAGATGCTAATGAATGTGAACTCCATCAAGCAATCTCGTAAAATACTAATTAGAATTCTAATAAATAAAACTTGTAGCAGTATTAGAGCTGAGATAAGGCAAGAATAATATGATGTTGTTCAAGACTCTTGAAAAAGAAACACATTTATTATTGTATATAACTATGTCTCAAAATGTACCTTTTATATGAATCCTACTTTATCAAAAATTGACATGTAGTATCATGGATTTTGAATTGGGAGCATGAGCAAAATAATAAGGTAAAACTTAAAGGAGGAATTTACTCTATCACCTGTAATAATTGCCACATAGAATACATAGAAGAAACATTAAGCTATATATAACAGATTATATGAACACAAAAGATGTTTTACGAAACAATACACTAAATGTATTACTTGCTCACCGTCATAAATCTGAGTATAATTTTTATTTAAAAAATGCTACTCTAATTAAAAGAAAAAGCAATTTACTAAGACGAGTATGTATAGAAAGTGCTTTAATCGCTAGATCTTTCTCAGAAAATTTACGTTCAGGTTCTTACAACATTTCACCTTTCTTGGTAGATGTTATCACAATGTAGGATATTTAGCAAAAAAAGTGATAAAAATATAAACAAATAGAAAAATAAACTAAATGAAATTGGCTAGACTATATACGCAAACGCATATATTTAAAATTAAATTTAAGCTCTCCGCATTCTCTCTTCATCATGCGCATGTGTAGTTACAACTACGTAAACATCACTTTAGTCCGATAAGGTTCTAAAGGACAAAACGTGTTATATGAAAACTTTTTTTCACTTTGTCATAATTTTTGTTACCTTAAAATTGTTTTCATATGTAAAAATTTATATGTTGTTTTCCCATATACAATGTTCACAACTGTTTTCTAAGAGTGCTTAATGAAAGTATGTGCATATAATGTCGTAAATTCTATTAATGGAGTTTTTTTGTGTGATACAATTTAATATCCAAGTGTGAATAAAAGCAATAAACTTGTTAATCAGATCGTTTATATAAGCATTAAACCGTTACTGTTCTTTTATAAGTATTAATAGTCATTTTGAATTTCTCTTAAAGTTTTGCCCATTATTGCTTTTTGTTTAAAATCAACAAATTTTCAATAAAATTTAAGTTTTCCTCTTTTTCTTTCAGTTACAAACAAAACATCGAAAAACAATGACCTAAACATTATTATTTTGAACAGACTATTGTCGATTACTGAAAAATGAAAACAATACTTAAAGCTTAAATGGCTAAAGCTAAAACAATGACAACATAATTAAAAAGCAAGCAAATAAAACAGAATAAAAATACGTAAAATATGTATTATAAAAGGCAAAAGAATGGGCCATCTTCTTTCAACTTATGTAATAATGGCTAATGTAAAAAAATAAATAAATCGTATAGGTCAGTGTATTATTAAAACTGTTTCCGTAGAAGTATTTGACACCAAATATTTTTGACAGACAAAACAATAAAAAAAACCAATAAAATATAGTCCAGTATGTTTTGTCAGTCTTAGTAGAAAGTATTATTCTATTTTTGTGGCTAAATTATAAACATTTTGTTTTATTCTTTAATCTTATTCATGAATTTAGAAATTTGCATCTTTCTTCTCCTTTAAACAGTCAAAGACAAGGAATGTATATTTCTATATTCAACTTGACCATTCTTGTTTCTATATCTTGCAGTTTATTTACAATTGTTATACTTATTAAGCTGAGAAGTTTAATCTATTCTTATTTATATGCAGCATGACTTGTAGATTAATTATTAAAAACAGCTTCAAGCCAATAAAATTCTTTAGATCTTAATGAAAACGATCTCTCATCAGACCTTATGGACTTGCATTAGAAAATTACAAAGAACTTAACCAAATGACAAAAATCACTTGAACACTTCCAACAGTAACAACAACAAAATGAATCGCACATGAAAACTAGAAGGGAAAAGAATGATGCAATCAAGATGTTGACGTTCCACACCATTTTAAACAAAAGACTTGGAAGGAAACTCATTTCACAGCTAAAGAAAAAGTGTTAACAATTAGTAGACTTAAGAAATCTAATTTCCTCGAAAACTGCTGTAAGTGTGGCGATTATATCCATGATACTACGCCAAGATACAACCCAAGTTTATAGAGAGTAAGTTCTAAATCTATGAGTGTTCAAATGAACAGGGCGACAGCTTTTGAAGAGAAAGAAATAGAACAACCTGTACTATTTGAATATATTTAATAGGCAAATATAAAAACAAAAAGAAAGGAAAAAAAGAACCCGGTTGCAGACAAGTTGTGTCTCTGGACTTAGCTTAGATGAAAGGCATCCAGTTATTTTGTCAACAGTTTTGGTTGAAGAAAAAGTCTCTTTCAGACCTTGACTATCTTTTATAGATATTAGTAATTTCTCTTTAGGTTCCTGGCCCCCTTCCTGATGCCATTGACCGGGATTGTGGTGAGGGTGTGATGTCACCTGTGTGTGGTAGAAGAAAAAGTGAGGATATGTTTTTGAATTTGGCGCTTATATAACCAGGGTCATATGACCCTTATGGGGGCAGTGATTGATCCTTTCTTTAGCTATTCAATCTCATTGTTTTATTCTGTTCTTGATTCTTTCAAATCCCAATATAAGAAAAAGATTTGATATATTTCAACCGACAGTAACACTCAATGTTCGGTCATTAAATGTCAAATGTTTCCCGCATGGAAACAGCTAATCTGACCATTAACATTACCATTTCACTTAAAGAATGCCATTTGTAGCACATCGCTACTCTTGGGCTTTGGACCCTTAAAATTAAAAAGTTATAAATTGTTTCTTTTTATTCTGGGATTGATCACAGGAAAGTGAAACTATCAGCAAATGGTTTTGTCAGTTACATTCAATGTTATTCTATTTTATTATCATAGGTATTTCATACACTGATAAATTTCACAAGGTGTTTACATGAGCAAATAGCACGTCATATTGGTAGATTGACTCATTATGCTAGGTGACAAGTTGCTAGGTTAGTTGCATATATGCTTTTGTCAAAGAGGACAATCATAGCCCTTACATGCTAGGAACATTGAAAATTCAAGTTTATTCAATTTATTCAGTCAATAAGAATTTAATGGTAGAACATTTTCCTAACAAATTTGAACTTTGCTCTTTTCAGTGTGGGTGCTTAGAAAACACCAAACATTTTTATGCACTTTTTATGCTTTTTTTGCATGTTTAAAAATAATCTCTGCTGTTTGATCTGCCACAATTTTATTAAAGGGAAATAACTTTTGTTCTAGACGAATTACTCCCCTTTGGTTAATTTTTCCGTCTTTGCTTTTGTCATTGTTTAATGTTGAACAATCATATATTTTATGCAAATAAAATCATATGAAATATTATTAATAAATACACAGATATACACACTCACAAAAGAATGCTACAATTAATTACATTATTGAGTTTTAATGATAAAAATATGAAAAAATTTTCCAAATAAATGTAGTATTCGAATATTTTTCTTATTTTATTTAAAAAGTAAATAGATGTCTAAAAATAAATCAAAGATAGTGTAATAATTTTTTAATTTATTACATATCTGACCATCCTTCTTTAACAATTGTGCATTTTTATATGTCAAAATATCCGATAGGTTTAATGATCCATTATAAACATAAAAGTAAAAATAATGTTTATTTTTTTAAATGCCTTATTCCTTTAGAGGGCAATCATAACACATACATGAATTACTAAGGTCCTTTCTAAACAAATTTGTTTCATTCCATACATTTAGGTTTCTCTCTCGGAGGAACGTTCTTCTTTTTTCAACA